TCTACAGTTGAGTCACTGTCTGTTTCATTGTCTATTTGTGTGTCTGCCTGCCTCTGTCTTGTATTTAATTTTGTGCCAGCAGCTTTAAATCAGCCATCTATGAGGCCATCATTTTTTCTTCATTATTTTAGCACTTGTAACTTTCATAAAGTCTTTTTTTCCCTTGGTACTCAATATGCTTCAAACATTAATCAAAATTTTCATGGTCATCAAACTGAAAAGAAAAAAGTTCAATCTCTCTCGGCCATCATCTGAAGGAATAAATCTGCTTGTAATTTTGCTCTCTCTTATAATCCACTCCATTCACAATTCAGTATGTTACTGATCTAGAGTTCTTACTTTGAACCCCTACTTTCCTGGGGAACGAGTTCCTGCATTTTCATTACCATCTTCTTTTGGCAACCTGTGATGAAATGTATTCTTGCAAATATTATTAAGTGGTGTGTCAGAAGATTGAAGTATGCAACTGAACAAATCGATATGCAACTTCCTTAGATCTTGACCTCTAGTTTGCTGCTACCTTGGGGGTAAATCCCCTGCTGGAGTCCTTGGCCTTGTTTCTCTCCATGTGCCTTCTTCAGAAATGTATGGGATTCTACTGGCATCAAACTACAACATAGACCCCCAGGTAATTGTTTCAGCTCACATGGAACAATATTAGGGTTCAAGAACCCTGATCTATCTCATGAATATAGATGCTCTAAGTATTCCTCCCAATTCTATATGTTGGGGTTCCCTGGCAAATTCTTCAGCATAGAATGTTTAAGCCAAAATCCAGATCTTCCTACCTCAGTATATTCATGTTGAAATACGTTTCACTGAAAAATATAAACTTTCTTTANCTAAGCTTTCTCCATTCTCCATCCAATATGGAGCACTGGTATAGTTAGAGTCAGAATACCAGGCACATATGTGGAGCACTACAGCCTGGAGGGTCCCCAAGTTTAGAGCCACACACCCCCTTCCTCTATCTTCCTCTCAATTCTGCAGAGGTTCTTCCTCCTACTTTTGCCCACTCTAGGGCAGTGTTTCTTCACCTTAGAAACTTTAAGATGTGTGGATTTCCCAGCCTGCTCTAGAGAAATTAAGATGGTGGATGTAGCTGCAAGTTTGTGATATGATGGATAGCATATTGTTTCAAATGCTGTAACAGAAAGAAAAGCCACCAGCATTCCCAGCAATCAGAAGAACAGGCGGCGTATAGGTGCTGAAGGCTAAGAGAAAGAGAAAGGGCTAAATACGGGAGAAGACAGAGACAATATGAAGAAACAGATGGAAATATGAGTGGGAATTCTTACCAGGGCATCTTGAAGCCCATAATGTTTTTCTCTTGACTATGACTCCTAAAATCCCCACTGGCTCTGCTGGCTGACTAGAAGTCATATGAGTGGGGCAGTCAATGCAGAGTATGCAGAATTAGCTGCTAATTCATTTCTCAGTTCTCTGCTGTTTTTCCAATGCTGTGCACTCATGATGAATTCTACTATTATTACAATCTCTTTCCACTGTTAATAGAAATACTACTTTTTGACTCTAATAGCTTTTTTTTAACTCCTCCTCCGCTTCATGCGGTGTGAACAAAATGCCATGCTTTTATTAACATTTTGAAATCGTCAGAGAAAATGTCTTGAGTTGTCCCTGAGCATCTCTGAACAGTTTGATTTCCAATTCTACCATCGCTGGGCTCGATTACTGATTTATGTACGGTATCTTGCGGCAAATATACTTTCATATATCTTGGGCAGCAATCAACCCACAAGGAGATAGTCTTTCCTCTTAAAATTCAAATAAGTCCATTCCCAGCTTCTGTCAAGGCTTTTTTGGAATTTCATGAGGCAACATACGTTCTTTATGTGCTTTATTTCTCAAGGCTTGGCATCTGGTACATGACTGTACCAAGTCTTCATTTTGAGCACATATGCTTGGCCAATAAATAACTTCTCCCTTCAAGCCCTTCATTTAGCATTCTTTAGTTTCCAGATGACTCTTATGTTTGGCATTCAATTTTTTCCCCTCTTTAGATTTCTTGCCGTGACTGTCTAGTTCCATCAAGAACCTCTAGAACTTCAAGGTGCTCTTCTTCAATTATGATGACCTCCCTGGTCTAGAGCCTAGTTATTTGCAGGTATGATATTGACTACTCATCTTATAAGATCCATCAGGGTTGATGGGCTTTAGATCCCATATATTAAAAAGTTCACCTTGTGGGATCCAAGAGGTATGCCTTCCCTTCCATCTGGAATAGCACTTCTTCTGAGATCTCTATAAGACCTTGCTGTCCTTCAAGAGAGGAAGAAGATCTTTTCACCAGCCATGGGTCAAAACATGACATGTGCCCACTATTAAGACTGATTTGGTTTTGTTAAGAAGCATCATAGTTTTACTCTTACTCTTACTATTGTTTTGTAAACTGTTTAGTTTTCTGTTGGAACCCTTGCAATTTGCCCGTTTTTGTGTCCAAGTGAATAACCATAGAAAGTTAAATCAAAAATAAACTTCTGTTCTGTCCATGCCTGTAAAATAAAATAAAGAAAATTGAGGGTGGGGTTGGGTAGTGACTGCAGCAGTTGTGTGAAATGCCTTCTTCCATTTTAGCTGGCTAATGTGTGTGGTATTGTATGATTAACATATCAGTCTACAGTAAGAGATATGTTGCAGAGAGAGGGCAACAATCCAAGTAGCGATTCATTTGTTCTGTAATATAAATGAATTACTTAATGACTACATGGGGTATTCTGGAGTTGAAGGAGGACAGGGAGCACATGATTATTGTTCCAGTTTTCCAGCAGAGTAAAATGACTTTCAGTGTAGCATTGCCATAGAAGAAGGCTTGCACTTTCCAATTTTCCATCTATCAACTGTGTGTGGGGGGGGGGAGCATTTTCATACAGTGAATCTAAACGTGGAGAATATTTACCTATTGTACAGGTGGTCCTTGACTTGTGACTGGTTGCTTAATGCCACTCAAAGTTATGACAGGCTTTAAAAAAAAGTTACTTACAACCCATCCTCAAAGTTACAATTGCCACATAACCCCTGTGACCACTTGATCACATTTCATGCCCTTACCACCTGGCTTGTAGTTACAACCAGTTGCAATGTCCCCTGGTCACATCAAAAAACACCCATTGGATAAGTTGGATTTGGACTTATGACCACATGATTCATTTTATGATCATGCGACTCACTTAATGACCATCAAAAACGATCATAAAATCGAGTCCAGTCATGTGTTAATTCAATTTATGAATGCAATGACTTACAACCAAAATTCCAGTCCCAATTATGGTTATGGATGTTGAGGACTACCTGTATGCCCCAGAAAAGGGCTTAAATTAGTGGCCATGGGATGATTGATAGACAATTATTTAAAGGAACAAATAATTTTTCTCTATTTTGCAAGCAAAAAAAGCAAAAATAAAAATAAAAATCAGAAATATAGCCTGAATCATTTTTGATCATTCCACCATTATTCTCACTTCTGCACTCAGGCCATAGGTTTTGACCTTTTGTAACCTTTCAACCAACATGTTGCTTTTTACAGATTCTATTTTATCCCACCTATCCTACTTCTCAAAGGAATCTCCTTATCCCGCTCTAATCTCACTTGAATCCTATTTAATGAAATTTACCCAGCAAGGATATAATCAGATATAATCATTGTTGGCAATCATTCTTTTAAAGGCTAAACAAAAAGGTTGGTTCATATTTTTATACAGACTGCAAGAATCTTGTTTCGATTCATGCTGAGATATATATTATGAGACGGTCACGGTTCTCAGATTCTTCGTCTGAGAAGGAGAGGGATAAAGGGGCAAGGAGAATCTAAAATCCTGGATTCTGATCCTGACATGGTGACACAGCTCCTAAGTCTGCAGGATGTTAATGGCTGTATGTCAAGAGCCAAACCTCAGAAAGCAAAGGAATGCCAGATTGCTTGGAACAGCTTTGGAAAGTAATGGTCCACTTGGGAGTCAGTTTGTACTCCTGAAAAGTCTGGCTCAACCAACAGTACTGGCTGTTTTGAACAAAAGCCAAGCCCTCTTAATACAAAAGCTTCTTCCCAACAGCAGTCAAATACTGGAAGACTCGAATATTTTGATAGCCATATCTCGTGCCTTGACTCTGGACCTGGTCTTGTTTCTGGGAATTATCACCTTGGCCTGATCCTTGAATGTTTGACCTGTTTAACCTTGATGGTGGATGATGGAATTTTTTGTCTGGAGCCTGAGCTGAACTTAGGTTTTGGACTGTAATTGTAATTTGCAATGTATGGCTATGCAAGTTGGACCATAAGGAAGGCTGANGATGCCTTGGTTTTTGGAAGGAGCAAGGCTTTTGTGAAGTGAAATGAGGTCAGAAAATCCAAGGAAAACATTGTTCCTGTACAGGGCAGGCCCACACAAAATAGGACCCTAGGAGACTATTTGCAAAATGGGCTATTTATTATGAGAAGCTAAGGATGCAGTCTTTAGATCTCCCGAGTTTCCAGCACAGCATAGGATTGTTCAGGTTTGAGTAGGGGAGGGGACAAGAATCTTTTGACTTAGGCTTCAAAGCCACACGCCTGCATGGAGTTGATATTACACAGCAAAGGTGTGTAATTATTTTAAGAGCATTTGTGACAGTTTGTATGCCTCACAACAGAGAAGATTTGTGGGAACATTGCATAGGGCCCAAAAACTGCCATGTCTACAAATGTGGGCCCTGGTTTTGATTTCTTTAGTCTGGCAGAACTGAGAAAACTGTTTGCAAAGGTTAATGGCAAACAACCCCAAACCTGTTTAAGGCCATCACCAAGGAAGTGTCAGACCTCACCTCCATTCAGGTGGCTATGACACAGTCATATAACCAAACAACCATTAAAATAGCCACCAGTAATATCCTGTGTGGTGGAGAGTGGTTGATGGAATTATTTATTGCCTCTGACAAGGCACAGATGTCTTGTAGCAATTCTGCCAATCAGCAAACAACTTATGGCATCTATCTGCATAAATTACCTGTCCTGACCTTTAGAGACCACAAAAGTTTGAAACTCAGCCAACAAGCGAGGGGAGTGGTAGTAATATATTGGCAATGCTAGCCAGGCCACCATTAAATCTGGATAATAATTCTCTGAATGCTAGTAAATACATGAAATGCAAGACATGGAACCCAACACCATGGGTTCCAGGTAACAGCTTCCTTCCTTCCCACACTCCCTATTATTAGTACTCCTATTTTTTTCAATTTACCCAACAGCAAAATATTTAAAATTAATTTTAAAAATGGAAGAGCATAAAAAGGGTAACAGAAATTAAAACAAGATGGAATTTAAGCACAAAAAGTAAAAACATGTAAATCCCTATTCAGGAATAAGGCAAATAGCATATATCCCAGTATTTCAAGACCTCCGTTCTCATTTATTTTATTCCACTGATCCTAAATTCAGGGGCCATCACAGATTTTACATGCCTGTTTAAAAATTGTTCAGAGACCATGCAGATGCAATAGTGCCCTTCATACAAGCTTCGGCACATAGGAGTGTTGTTTGAGAAAAGATTTTTGTTCCCAGGCCACAACTAAAATAAAAAAAAAGACAGTAGAAACTCCAAGGAACAAATCTTATGATCTTTTAATGCACATTATCTGCATTCCAGAAATCCAAGATTCAATCCTTGAGAACACCATTTATAAATGGTGATGGGAAAATCCTTACTTTCAAAATTCTGAGAGAGGCACTACTACGAGCATCGATAAAAGTTTCGGCAGCGATCTCAGAGCATTGAGGTTGCATGTCCGTCTCGTAGCGATATTGGCTCCTCCTTTTCTTGCGCAGAGCAATTTTAGTGGTACTGTGCATGCACGTGCATCACACACCCCTAAGCAAACTGGCAGTAGTCTCTACCAGAACCCACCCCTGCAGTAATGGATGTACAATGGGAAGACCCAAAGAACCAGGTTAGGGACAGGTCCTTCTGGAGAAAATCTATAGATGTGGTCACTAAAGTTGACACTTAATTATTGACCTGCCTGCACTTAGATCTTCTCAGTTCTCCATTAACAGTTGTTTCTCACTAAGGCGAGGAGCACTTCCTGATTTCAGGTTTTTCCTAGCATTCTTGGCATGACAAGCCACATTAAAAGAGTTTTGAAAAGGGTGAATATGTCTAGCATATGGCCTTCATTCATTCATTTATTTATTTATCAAATTTATAGAACTGCACAGCTGGCCTTGTATACTCTAGATTAGGCCGGGGCTCTCAGATGTGGTAGAAGACCCCATCCTTATTTGGTATTCAGTTGCCTGTCCAGTTGGCTTCTATACATAGAATAGAGAGAAGTATCACCTCCTCCTTTACTCAGGCATAAAATGTTTTAGATCAGCCCTGATCCTACTCCAGCTTCAGTTGTACAACTCCTCAGTGATAAATTATGGCTGGAATTAAACCCTAGGGCAAAATTCATTTCACAATTGCTTCCGTATGAATGTGTCAATTTAAAAGCTCATGCAGAGTCAGCTTTCAGAAGAGGGAGATTTCATGAGTAGCTTCCACATCTCTCCGAGAAGGAGGATCTCTGCTTAGCTAGCTGAAACATTTACAGATGACCAGGATCTTTTTCCTCAGGACCTGAATGGACTACTAATCTAGAGCAGGGGTGTCAAACTCGATTTCATTGAGGGCTGCATCAGGCTTGTGTTTGATCTTGTGGGGGGGGGGAGTGGGAGTGGCCAGGGGGTGTGTGGCCAGCTCACTTTCACTTATGTTGGGGTCCCTGGGCGGCCCGAGCACTCTGCCAGAGAAAACAGGCTCCCAAGCTTTGTTTTCAGTTGCAACGGCGTCCTGTAACCCTCTGCCAGTGAAAATGGAGCTCAGGAGGGGCACATGCGACCCTCCTTAGCTCCATTTTCACTG